GGGTTGTATAACTGGATTGTTGACTGTTTCTAATGGCCCTGTCCAAGCTGCTGCCATGCCCTGCACCAGAAAACACAGTGGCCTCTTAGAAGCACATGTGGCTTATCACAAATACACACTGCTGAGCAAACCCTAAGTCTGGGTGATAAGGCACTCAGTACAGCAGTGTGGGATCAGACAGCCTTGGCCCCACAATGCAGACAGACAAAACTTGCTGCATGTAGCAAGAATGAGACAAGCCAGCAATGCATGATATCACAGCAGGGGGACAGATGTGCTGCATACGCCCAAGGTGCACCACTGCTGTCGGGACCTTGCTCCACACACACACAGACCAAACAACCTTTGTGGTGTAAAACTTAAGCAGGAGGTACAGAGGAGACTTTACAGCCCCAAAAAAACCCATATCAGAAATCCACTGGACAGCTGTCAAGGATAACAGCTGTGCCCTGGGGCTGAAGCAGCAGGTGGCCTGAGCCAGGAAACCTCCAAGTACCTGCACAACACACAGTGTGAGAAAACAATTGTCTCGGATCCTCTTAAAATAGGAACAAGGAAGCAGCAGCACCAAGGCTGCAGTGGTTCAGGGTGTGAATAATTTCTGCTTGAATACTGTGCTCATCATGCCATCTCCCTATGATAAGTGCACCTTTTTTTCCAGTGAAAAGCTGCTCCTACCAGTCAAAAAGGGACCATTACTCCTCTATCAAATCTAGCAAGAAGATTCCACTGTACTTTCTCTGTAATAAAAAGCTGCAACATCCACTGCTGGAATCCCAGACAACTAAGGGAACTTGGACCTGTAGTGGAAGCAGAGGAGGTATAGGTCCCCTGCTTCTCTGTTTTGATATGATGGCCAAATTGCTCTCTTCTTTACAGGCCTGTATCTTTCCACCAGCGGGATAAGGATTACACAGGAACTCCTTCATTGTATGTGTAAGGGATTATTATTAACAATTGTTTCTAAATGATTCTTTTGCTAGAGCTCTGCAAACAACTTTGCTCTGGCAGCAAAAGTGTGAAGGGAAATCCAGGTAAGCAGAACGAAACCCAAAAATATTATGCATCACTCTTGCATTGCTTCTTACAAAAAGGTTCCACTTCTGAGGCCAAAAACCTGGCTGTTAGAAAACAAACTTTTGTGAGGAAGCCTACAAAAAATACTCTCTGTTGTGTTATCTTCAGTTTTGGGTTTTTTTCCAGTCAAGTATTTTCCATGGTGCAAGTCCACTCACAGCAACTTTGTTGCCATCTGTGGCGAAACACCAGAGCCCAGCTTGAATTCCTCCAGCACCTTTATTTTTCGTTCTGGCCCAAGATTTTCATTCAATTTTTCTCATCTGCTTTTTGATATGTATGTGGATGCATAATACATGCCCTGGACATACGGACTCACTGCCCAGGGAGGTAGTGGAGTTACCACCCCTGGAGGTGTTTAAGGAGAGACTGGACATGGCACTTAGTGCCATGATCTAACTGACCTGATGGTGTTGGGTAATAGATTGGACCTATGGATCTGAGGTCTTTTCCAACCTAATTGATTCTGTGACACACATATTCATGAGTGTGTGCATTTGTTTTAACACAGAGAATCTTGAAAATGTGTTTACTTATAACAGATACTTGATACTTTTTTTGCCTTAATGGTCCAGTCTGCACCTTTGTTGCTTAGAAAATAAAACAAACTAGGGCGAATCTGCAGAAAAAGGCAACAAAATATCAAGAACAAAAAGAAGCGGAAATGTTCAGAAGTGTACTAAGAAAAACACCATCAGACAGTGCAGGCACATGAATTAAAATACTGAGTTCTTCTTACAAAAATCAGTCAGCAATTCCTATTCTTCAAGAGAGATTCCAGACTCAGAAAATGACACAAGCAAAGGTGGACAGTTACATTTACTTTCCTTGCTTTCTGAGGGTGATCTAGAGCTGAGAACTAGCCAGCAGCTTTGACACCCAGTGGTTAGCCTATCTCTTGGTGTAACTGCATTCCCTGGCCACTTTTATTCTATTTATGACTGCAAAAGTGGCATCTCCTCCTCCTCTTCTAATAGTCACATTTTACTCTCTTTCCACGTCGGGATTTCAGAGATGGCCTTCATGGCTGCTGCTTTTGGGTGACTCACCAGGA